CTACCGCATCAAATTATTTCCGCCGTATCGGCTCCGGCCGAACTATATAAGCATCTTTAACCTTGTAACCGAATCACTGAAATACATCATTGTTAAGTTCCAATTATTGAGTTGTCCTTGTGTTCGCCTCTCACTCCAGATATCTAACGTTAAATAAAAGAACTGCGCCCCTCTGCCATATACTAAGCGGGGAGCGGCCGAGCATTTTAGGGAACTGTTGAAGTTACCGATACCGCGGTGCGATTACTCGCACCTGACGCCCATTTCCGGTTACCGATATCGCGTGAGTTACCTTGCTCCCGACTTTTGTGGAGTACCGCGAGTTACCGAATCGTGCAGTTATTGCCGATTTTGCGAGTTATCTTGCTCCCGACGAGCGTGGAGTACCGCGAGTTACCGAATCGAGCATCTATTTCCAATACCGTGAGTTACCGAATCGAGCATTTATTGCCGATACCGCGAGTTACCGAGTCGTGCATTTACTGCCGACGCCGCGTAAGTTACCTAACTCCCGAAGATCGTGGAGTATCGCGGTTACCGATTTCCATTGGGCGTGCTCCCTTGGATCTGGCGTGATTCCGAGGCTAGTTCACGTCGCAACATATACATTTATTAAAAAAATATATACAATATACAAAATGATATTAACTTTTTACATAGATACTTTGATGTTCTATTTAAAAAAAACAAAGTTGACCTCTATATGACCTTGGCATGTACGCTCTAGGTTAAACCAATGTCATCATCGGATGTCCCCCTCCAAACCCAACAACTTTGGTTTAAATCATTTTTCTTGAAAAAGTCTCTCTGAAAAGTTATTCACGTGGAGTTTTTAAAATGGGACACCCTGTATATAATATGGAGCATGAGCATATAATATACATAATATACAGGGTGATTCAAAATAACCTGATGTCCTTGCAATATTCTTGAGTAAATTTTGAGACGATTTTTCCTTTTACAAAATTTTGTCCGAAGCTTTCGAGTTATAATTAAAAATAGTTTGCTTACGAGTCCGATACAACAATTGTTACATTTAAATTGTTAGATTGATCTAATTGTATATATTGATTTGTTTTTCATAATTGAAATTTATTTAAAGAAAAGTAACTAATTTACTGTGTTAATTATAACATACTTTTTAAACTTATATTTATAATATTTTTGTTTTTAATTACCTATAATAATGCTAGCAAATGTTGTGTCTTTCGTTAGTGTTGATTGTTTTTTTCCTGTTCACGACTATTTTTTGGAAACGTTATCATCTAAAATAAATTTCAGAATATTTCTCGTCTGATTAGCACATGTAGTTCCTTCAATTGTTGAAATTTTCTTTTCCTGCAACATAAAAACCAGATGTAAAATAATGATTAATTTATCCAGATGAGATCTGAATTCTATACTGAAATTTTATGTATTCTATATATTCTATATATCTACAAAAAGAGGGTCCGTCTTCTACACAACACCATTCCTCAGCAGGGCGCCCACTTCAAGCGATCCGAAACTACTCTGCACTTAAATCGGAGCGACTATCTTTCTCTCACCGTAACAAGTAAGTTGGTTCATTATTTTTTTTATTTTTTTAAATTTATTTTCTCTGATTCCTCTCCCTTTCACCGGTATTTTCGTTATTATTATTTGCTCCGTCCTCAAATTTATTTAATTTTCGTTATCAGTGAGGACCGAGAATTCGCCGCGACCCGTCTCCAAGAATGACACTCATACACACACACACACACTATTGTAAAAATACACAAAAAATAAAAAAACATATGTATATACTACATTACCTACGATTAAGAGTTAAGTTTTTTTTGTATCAAAATCAAATATCAGATTAAATGTTAAGCCATTATCAAATTAAAATTTCGATCTTATTCATTTAATTACATCCTCCTCGTTCGTTACATCACTCTTCCCTCTCAAATTATGCACGAAGGCTCCGTCCCGGGTAAAAGGGATTAAATTCCTTGACCCAAAAGGGAACCTGCGAGCGGTTGACTTGTCGACGGAGTAAAACGACTCTTCCAGTCGCTGACCCGTCGCAAATCCTAAACGTATCGCTCGGCTCGTGCGATCAGGCCCGTTTACATTGATCGCCGAGTACAAAAAATCTTCTATCAGGACGTAACACATACTTTCGAAAAAATATATACATATTTATTTGTTATTAGTATTACAAAATATATACAGATAGGAATTATACATACACTTCTCTCTTGTATCTTAGCGGGGCTTGGACCAGCCACTTCCCAATAACATTATCAATTTCTGTCTCTGACGTATTTATTCGCTGGTTCTGCACCACAACTACAAAAAATATACACTGTATAATATCACATTATATACAATTAAAAATTAATTTTTAATGAATTACTTGTATAGTAAATTTAAACAAAATATTGTGTATGTACAAGTACAATTTCTATACATTAATATATAATAAAATATATTTTTATATAAAATAATTAAAAGAGAATTTAATGTCAATCAACATAATTATATTAACATAATTTATTAAAAAAACTAACTTTACAGAACTGTATATAGATTTCTAATTTACCTCGAACTGATCAGGAGACGCGGTAGTGTCTCCGGCCAAGTTCAAAAATGACACTACTAACAAGGAAAGAGACCCAAGTGTCCCCCTCCGATTTTGACGAGCTTTAAATATGTTGTAAAGTAGCTCAAAATAAAAGACATATATTTTTTTATGTGCTTTCTCGCACGTTTAGGGTTGAAACAACCCCTACAAGCTAAAACGGTTTTTTTGGTTTTGACTGAATATCGTCAAAACTGTAAAAGATATAAAAAATGTTTTCAATAAAAGTTGCATGGTCTTTTATGAGCTTTATAACCGCGTAGCTCGATTTTTAAAAAATTTTATATTTTTTAATTTACCCCCACTCTTTTTTATTATTTTTACGAATTTCAAAATTTTTGTTATGACAAAAGTTGTAGCATTCTTTACGCTGAATACAACTATATATGATTTTATTATGTTTCAAAATCGCATTTTTCAGAAATGAGCTGTCAATGTCGCACTATATGCGTCGTAATATATGCATATATATGCATAACGCATCGTTTGTGCCGCGTTTGTGTAATCGATAAGACGAATAAAATTAGATATAAAGATTAGCATGTTATGAAGTATTCGGAAAAATGTTCTGATCAAAGAACCACGAAGTAAGAGTAAAGAGACTTAACTAGATAGCGTACAGAGAAAAAAATTGGTCACAAAAAATGTTCCACGAAGGAGGAGGTTTGCCGAATGGAATAACTTGCAACATTTCGTCGCCATCTTAAATCTGTTCTTTTTAGCTAAACCATGAGGAGCGTGAACTGAACTGACTGCACTAACAAGGGAACGTTCACAAGTGTCCCCTCCCGATTTGATTCTCCTTGAAATATGTTGTAAAACATACAATTTGAGGAGAATAATGTAATAGTATGTAGAATATATCGCAGTATATTTAAACTATTGAAAAAGAGTAAACTGTACAGAATTTTATATTTCAATTCATTGTCAGTAAAGTCGGGCCAAGAAGGTAGAGTCAAGGTGGATATATGTTGAATAGATTGATTCATTCACTGTCTTCGTTTCATAAATTATTTTCCCGTAGTCACTACAAGCGAAACTTCAAAGTGTAATATGCGCTGATAGCAAACTTGTATATGACAACGCGCTGCGCACGAAATGCAGCGATTATCTATAAAGGTGTAATGTGGAAGGGATGCTTTAGCAACAATTTTAGTTAACTTTTCTTCCTCAAATATGTGATAACATGTTATTTTTATCTTTATTTAACGACTATTGCACAACACAAGTGCGGTATAAGCGATGCGTCATGCAGCGCGACGCATATAGTGTGATACTGATGATTCATTTTTGAAAGATGCGATTTTGGAACATAATAAAATAGTAGTATAGCAACACGGGTTCTAACTCAGGAGCAATGAGGGGAGTGCGGGTGAAGAGGGGAAGGAGGGATATCAGGTTACAGTGGAGGGGGTAATGACGTCATCGTTTTGGAGGAGAGGGGGTAAAATTGGAGTGAAGGGGGACGAGGGAGGTGCGGGGAGAGGGGAAGGTATCGGATTACATCAATTCCTGGAAGAGATAAGGATACCTGGAAAAGATAAGATAAGGATTGTTTATACAAACATCAATTCCTGGAAGAGATAAGATAAGGAATGTTTATACAAACATGAGTCATTGGGAGATAAGGATTGCTTATACAAAAATAATTTATAGTTCCGAGAATTGTTTATATCCTTTGCATGCACGTGCAGGTTTTTTCTCCACTTAAAAGGGCAGCGCCTGTTTAAATTACATCATCGCTATTTTTAGAACAGACAAGTGGAGAGGGTGATAAGGAATGTTTATACAAATTTTAGACAGCGCCATGTTGCCAGATTTCAATATGTGTGACATCATCGCTATTTTTAGAGCAAAAGCCCATAGCAACAGGCAGCCACGTCAGCATTTTAAGCGCCATGTTGCCAGATTTCAATTTTGTGTGACATAATCGCTATTTTTAATTAGTGTCGTGTGCAACAAGCGGGTATATAAAGCAAGTGAGAAAAAATATGAGTCTTCAAAGTCATTCGCAATGGAGATGGAGCGTGATCTCACCGTACGAGCAGCGAATATCAAAACGTTGGGAGAGTTCCTCCCATGGGACTACGAGTGCGACGAGTGCCTCGATTCTCTGAGGAAAAAATGTCGCAAGAAGCAACGAACTGGAGTAATTCACTCTCTGGTGGCGCAAATAGTGCGTCTAGAGGGTGTGAGGAAGATCATTCAAGAGCGTTTTGTACCCGTCGGCGCCGGATACGGTGGATATGAGAAGAAGGACTACACGTGGAAGGAGATCGAGACGGCGTTTAGGAATTGAATACTAACCGGTGCGGTTGTCAATCACGAATACATCGATCCTCGTGAATTTTTGGAAGAGATAAGAAATACGATCATCGAGCGGATCCAGAGCGTCATGGCAGAGCATGGAAACGTTAAAATCAACACCGTGTTCAACGGGGAATTCATCGCAGGCGACAAGACTGCCGTGAAGACCATCGCCACCAAGAACCGCGAGCTATTGCCAACAACCGATGTACAAGAATGGTACACGAAGCATGTGGTTGACGTCATCCTGGCGTCTCTGGAGGAGTTTCAAGAACGCGACAGCGGATGGGCGTTGTCACGTATCTTGGACCTCACCATCAACGTCAAATTTAATCCTCTACGCGCGGGATGCCACATTCAGTTACCGCGGAAAATTATGCTAAAAAGGGCAGTGGTCAACGTGCAATCGACGGACAATGCGTGTTTCGCGTGGGCAGTCGTCGCCGCTTTATATCCGACGAAAAGAAATTCGGAAAGGACGATAGAATACCCACATTACTCGACGGTGCTCAACCTGTGCGGCATAGAGTTCCCCATAACGCTTCCGCAAATATCAAAATTCGAAAAACTGAACACCATCTCCGTCAACGTTTTTACTATGGAAGACTCCAAAATCATCCCTTTGCGCCTCGCCGACGACAAGATGGAGAAGCACGTCAACATTCTCTATGTGCCTGGAAATAACGAGGCACACTTTGTGTGCATCAAGGATCTGTCTCGGCTAGTGAGCTCGCAACTGAGCAAAGAAAAATGTAAAAAATACATTTGCAATCGGTAAGTAAAAACACATTTATAGAATAATTCAAAACTTTATTAATCATACAAATTATTACAGGTGTTTACACTATTTCGAACAATTGAGAAATTATCGGCGCACAGCGTCGACTGCGGCAAGATAAACGACTGCGCCATCGTTCTCCCCAGCGAGGACAAGTGGCTGACGTTCCGCAACTACAACCGGAAGGAGCGGCTCCCGTTTGTTGTATACGCCGATCTCGAATGTACGCTCGAGAAGAAGGAGGGACAAAACCGTACCACATACGCCTACCAACATCACAATGTGTTTAGCGTAAGATATTATGTAAGTTGTACATACGATAACTCATTATCTAGTTTTAAGTCGTATCGCGGTGAGGATTGCGTGGCGTGGCTCGTCAATGAACTTCACGATTTGGCGCGCCGTGTGAAACGATCCTCACCAATATCGTCCCCATGGCGGATCTTACGCCGGAGGAATCGGAAAAATTCCGTAGCACCGCGACGTGTCACGTGTGCGAGAAACCGTTTACACCGGATGATACGCGGGTGCGTAATCATTGTCATCTTACCGGGTGTTACCGAGGTCCCGCGCACTCGTCGTGCAATCTAAATTACAAAGACTCCCACGTTATCCCGGTGATATTTCATAATTTATCCGGTTACGACGCGCATTTTATAATCAAAAACGTTGCCAATGCTTTCGAAGGCAACGTCGAATTGTTACCGCTGACGAAAGAACGTTACATTTCATTCACAAAAATCGTTAAAGATACCAAGGATCAAAAATCAAAATTGTGTATAAAATTACGATTTATCGATTCATTCAGAATTTCTCAGTACAAGTCTCGACAAATTGGCATCATATTTAACTATAGATGAATTAAAAATTTCACGATCGGAATTCAATCATTTATCCGCGGAACATTTCAATTTGCTTACTCGGAAAGGCGTGTTTCCCTACGAGTACATCGACAGCGTCGACAAGCTTCGGGACACAAGCCTACCATCGCGCGAATCGTTTTACAGTTCGCTCACCGGAGAAACAGTATCCAAAAGCGATTACGCGCACGCGACAAACGTCTGGCAAACCTTTTGAATCGAAGATCTAGGTCAATACAGCGATTTATATTTGTGAAACAGACGTTCTTTTGTTGGCGGATATTTTTCAAAATTTTCGAAACATGTGTATTAAAAGTTACGGTTTAGATCCCGCTCATACACATTACCAGTACTGCCAGTCGGGCCGGGTTGCCCCTCCAGTCCCTTCCAAAAACCAGGTTATGCCCAGTAACGTATTGTAAGCGTGCGGATCCCAGTAAATATAAATCTAAATTTTTATTTTTTTGATAACACAGATTGAAGACTAAATTTATGAAGAATAAGATAGGATAAAAATAATTATTTAAAAAAGGAATAGGATGAGAATAATTGTAAAAAAACATTCTTGTATAATTATAAAGAAATACTTTATTTGGCAGAAATTATTAAGAATAACAACATTTGTTGCAAGGGTAAGGAAAACTGCCAAAAACCTTACCAGTATCTGTCTGTTCACTGGGATTGTGCCAAAACTGCACCCACAACACGTTACTGTGGTTACCATGGTTACCGTGCGCGCGGCCTAGCCGTTGGAGGGACAACCCGGCCCGACTGACAGCACTGCACATTACCGGGATACACGTGGGACGCCATGTTGAAGCACACGGGCATCAAGTTCGAGTTGCTCACAGACATCGATATAGTGCTGTTTGTCGAGCGCGGTATACGCGGTGGTCTCAGCCAATGCTCCAACCAATACGCCGCCGCCAACAACAAATACATGTCATCGTACGATCCATCGAAATCATCATCGTACTTAATGTACTTTGATGTAAACAACTTGTACGGCTGGGCAATGTGTCAACCGTTGCCCTATGCCGATTTTCAGTGGGTCGAAAATGTCGCGAGCTTTGATGTAATGTTCGTTGCATCCGAGTCGGCTACAGGTTATGTACTGGAAGTCAACCTTACGTATCCGGTGAATTTTCACGACGCGCATTCCGACCTGCCGTTCTGCCCGACGCGCGATAAGCCGCCCGGCAAGCGGGAGGTTAAGTTACTCGCTACGCTGTGCGATAAGCAGCGATACGTCATTCACTACCGTAACCTGCAACAATGTATTCGACACGGGTTGCAGGTTACAAAGATTCACCGCGTATTGCAATTCGCGCAATCTCCATGGCTTCGAGGATACATCGAACTAAATACACATTTTCGGACACGGGCGACAAACGAATTCGAGAAAAATTTATACAAATTAATGAACAACGCGGTTTTCGGTAAAACCATGGAGAATGTGCGAAATCACACGGATGTACGGCTCGTTACACAGTGGGAGGGTCGGTACGGAGCGGAGGCTTTGATCGCGAAACCGAATTTCCATAGTCGAAGCGTGTTCTCGGAGAATCTAGTCGCCGTAGAGTTGCGAAAACTCGAAGTGAAATTCAACAAGCCGATCTACGTGGGTATGTGTATCCTCGACATATCCAAGACCTGCTTGTACGAGTTTCACTACGAGTACATGGCGCCTCTCTACCGCGACAATTGCAAAATTATGTATACCGATACCGACAGTCTGATATACTTTCTACAATGCGAGAACGTATATCACGATATGAAACGCGATATTTCAAAATTCGACACGAGCGACTACTCCGAGGACAACGTTTACGGTATACCGCGCGCCAACAAGAAAGTACCCGGTCTGATGAAAGATGAGAACAACGGCGGAATCATGACGGAATTTGTCGGACTGAGGGCGAAGATGTACGCGTTGAGAGTCACCGGCCAAAAAGACACCAAAAAGGTCAAAGGTGTAAAAAAGAGTGTAGTCGCCAGAACTATAACGTTTGACGATTACACTCGGTGTCTCAACGACGAAATCGAGCTAACGCGGCGTCAATCGTGCATCCGCTCAAAGATGCACGAGGTGTACACCGTGTCGGAGTCGAAGCTCGCGCTCAGTCCGTACGACGAT